TTAATAATTATTGTTTTATTCTCTTTAATGGTTTGAACAATCTTCCATTCTTACATCTGGTAATCTGAGCAACATAGTTGAAGATAACAATTTGTAATATAACAACCACTGTTAATGCCTATCATTTTTTTTTTTGAAACCCCTTATCACTTTTAATGTTTTTGCTTTGCTTTGTTTATGTTTTGGACGTTGGTATGTTGCTATTTTTTTTTGACTACTCTTTTTAAAAAACAGAACAAATTACCTTCACATAAATGTGTATGGACCCTATTTCTGACACCTGCCAAAAAATGTCCCTCGCTCAGGCACAGAGAAGACAAAGAAGAGCTGGACGGGCCACCTGCAGAAAACTTTGCAGAAGTGCACCGCGGTGGAGCCTGCCCCTAACCTCAGCACTTTGGGAAGCCGAGGGTCTCAAGTTCAAGCCCAGCTGGGGAAACTTAGTGACTTAATAAGACCTTGTCTCAAAGTAAAACAGAAAAGAATGACCTGGGGATGTTGCTCGGTTGGAAGGCCCTGGGTTCAGTCTCCAGCATTGTGGGAGGGAGGCTGTGCAGAACTCCCGGCCCGATCTGCAAGCAGTGCTTTTTAGGCCAGGGTGTTCAACTGGGCTGCAGAGTTACAGTCGTCACTCATAGCAAAGTCCTGGGCTGGAAGGAGTCGTGCTTCATAGCTCAGGCAGAGGTCCCCCAGTGCCCCCGGGAGGCCTGCAGCCTCAGTTCCCTGGTTCCCTTGTGGGGGTGCCTCTGTAAACAGGGGTAAGGAGCCAGGCGGTGTGGCTGTCTTGGCTGCCTACAGGGCTCACGCCAGGGGCTGGGAGCCTCTCCAGAGCACTGCTCTGTGCGTGCACATGCCGGCCTCACCCTGAAGCCGTGGCTGCCCGCTGACTCTGCTCCTCTCCCTGCCTCGCTGCTGGGTCTGCAGGTGGCTTTGCCGGCGAGAGCCCTGCAACTCCAATCTAAGAAACCAGTATTCCATGCGGCTCCACGAGGACTCAAACAGCTCGCGGGTCAAAGTCACTTGTGACCTCGTTCAGGTTCAGGTCGTTTCTTCCCATTAAAAGAATGCCATAAATCATGCTAAGCCTTTAAAGCTCAGACACCATAATTTAACTTACAAGCCAATAGTGTAGTGGTAGAAAAGAGTTGCCAATTCTTTGTTTCTTTTTCTTCTTTCTTTCTTTCTTTCTTTCTTTCTTTCTTTCTTTCTTTCTTTCCTCTCTCTCTCTCTCTCTCTCTCTCTGTCTCTCTGTCTCTGTCTCTGTCTCTGTCTCTGTCTCTCTCTCTCTCCCAGTCTGTCTCTTCTTTTCTTTTTTTATTTCCTTTTCTTTTCTTTTTATACCTGGTCTTGCTAAGTCACTAAGCTGCCCAGAGTGGGTTCCAATTTGTGATCTTCTTGCCTCAGCCTCCCAGAGTGTTCAGATTACAGGTGTGGTGTCATGCCTGGATTTTCTTAACTAGAACACAACTAGTGAATTCCAAGCTTGGATTATCAAGAAGAAACCTGACATGCCCATGCTGAGACTTGCTGTTACCTCAGTCAGAGGGATGCTCCTAGCTGCCCCCTTGGCAAGGGTTTCTGGGATGTCACTTGCCTTGGAGGAAACTGTCAGGGACTGCCTGTGTGCAGATACATCCTGTTCCCAACCTTAAAGCTTTATGGACAAATTACTAGTCTCTAACATGGGATCAAAACAAGGACCCTAACCTCATACCACAACACACTTTCGATATGAGCTTTTTGTCATTTTTTTAACAAGGCAAAACTGGGTATAATGGCTGAAATAAACTTAGGAACAACATAAAAATAAAAATAAAATTTAATTAAAGGGATACAACAAGACAGACGCATTCAAGGAGAGAACCCTAACATGGGGTTGGATTAGTATGTGGATCGACCTCTTGGAAGAAACGGGAAAAATCTGGAGCCAGGGACTTTTCGCAGAGGAAGGAAAGTGGCTGAGAATCACTCCTTGGATTTGTTTGCGAGATGAACTTCAGTAAAGATTGCTTTTAGAGAGATATTTGAAATGACTTCTTTGAATATTCACATGTAAATTTCTTTTATTCAATTTGCAGGATAATGAATACATTAAAGAGCTAATTCTTTAGGGAGCAACTGGAAAAACGATTTGCTGACTGAGTCAAGGACATTGGAGGAGAAGCACAGTGCATACTGGAGCGGCTGCTCCGGGGGATGTCGGGGGATTACCATTCTTGCCCCTGGAATTTGAGGGGAATTTCTGGCACCTGCTTTGCACAGTTACATGGAAGCGGAAGTGATGATGCCGCTTCTGGGTTCCCGTTGTGTGTTTGCCACTTTTGCCTGTTTCTTCTGCTGCAGGGACTCCACGGAAACAAGCGCTAATATGAACACGCCAGGAAGGCCGGGCAACCAGGACATGAGTGACACGAGAAACCGCCATCCTGAGACCACTCACCGGGACCCGCAGTGGACTCTGGCTGGCAAGAAATAAATTCTGTTGTGTTAAACCTGTAAGAGTTTGGAGATGCTTAGTGTTGCCTCATAACCTAGCTTATTCTGATTAATACAAACTAATCCTCAAACTATGGGGGATTCTTGTGCTTTAGGTGGCCATAAACATAAAAAAGTCTCATTTTCCCACTAATAATATGTTAATATAAGAAGAAGTAATCCAGCATTTGCACCAGCATGTTATTCACTTACTAGATAAAACAGAATCAGCTGAAAACCACTACAAACAGTACAATTCAGGAAGATGGCTGGTGAAGAATTAATATGTGATGGTCTTCATACAAATAGTAAGTGGAAGTACATGACGGAAGGAAAAGGCTGTGTCTAATTATACCGCGAGTTGACAAGATACCTAGGAACAACACAAAGGAGAGTTGTACAATAAAAGCAAAGAATAAGTTTAAGTATTACAAAAGAACTAAGATGAAACTTAGAGAAATATAAAATTCTACCATGTTCTTGGCTAGGAAAACATAGCACCATATTTAAAATTTTATGTTAATTTATACATTTCATGTGATTGAATTATAATACCAAGACAAGCTTATTTTACAGCACATGTAGCAAAATAAAAAGTAAGATTTCCAAGGAAAATTCTAGGAAAGCAGAACACCGGGATATAGAATAAATTTACCATTTACTAAAATATAGAAAACTATAATGATTAAAATTTATGATTTTGGTAGTTGAATAAGCAGACAGATAATTGAGACCGAGTGGGGCTTCAGAAATACATACAAATAGAATAATTTAATATATAATAAAACGGTACTTTAATCAGTGTGAAGAGATATACTATTCATTCGTTCAGAAATGAGTAAGTACCCTGAAGGTTTAATATAGCTGCTTTACTTCATGTAATTTGTATGATGTATACAAATATAAATGGTCAAAGGGTCAAATTTTTGAAAGTTAAATATTGATATAATTAAAGTAATTGTAAAACCAATAATCACAGAGTAGAAAAGGCCTTTCTAATGTTGCATAAAGCCCAGAAGGTGTAAAAGATAAAAATTAAAAATTTTAGTCACATGAAAGTAAAAGTATTTTGTAACAAAGATATTAAAATTAAGAGGTGTGTGACAAACTCAAAAGATATTCGGAACTCCTGTGATGATCATCATCTTTAATATAAAAAGATTTAAAAATCAATATAAACACCAACAATCCAGACAGTTAACATATAAGAGAATACAAACACAAAAAAGATACCGAACAAGAGAGACATAAGTGAACACTATGCTGAGACATTATTTCCGCAGATTAGCAATGGTCAAAACTAGAGCAGAGAAGCAGTACTGACCGTGATGAAAGGAAATAAGAACTTTGCTGCTCTCTGATAGTGCAATTACAAAGACCTCTCTAGGTGCACTTTGGCAATGTCTGCTTACCTTTTTAAAAAAGTCCTCATATTCTTTGAGGCAGAGAAAGATGGTGGTTGAGTAATCTCCCCTTGTGACTATCTCTTCATAGACATGCTGGTTTGAACAGCTGTTCCTCTATCAACTACTTTCCCAAGAGCTAAGGAGGTCAGTTGAGACACCACAGCACATGGTTTTATATAATAAAAAGAGAAGACATGTTGGAAAAGGCAAGACAGAAGGAGGTGTTGTCAACCGCCCCCCCCCCCCATTCAAACAGGCTGGAGAGACATTTCTCCCTCTGGAAGGCTGAGGCGAGGAAATTAAGTTCAGTCTTTCAATCTGAGACCTAGTACCAGGCCCCTGTGGTGAAACTTGGGGTGGGCAGAGTTCTACCACTTCTACTCAGACCAATACTCACAGCCTCAACTTACTCAACTTCTAAACATTTGTCTTACAGATATGATTGCACGGGTGTGCAGTGAATTCTGTCCCTATGCAGTCGGAAACCGAGTTTCCACAGTAATGGACGGTAATGATAGTAATGATACTGAAACTAATGTCAATGCCCACAGAAACAGAACTCCGTGGAAAACAAGACACTTCCAGGCAATGGAAGCTATGCAGACTTTATGAAGGATACGTCTATATACGTACAGAACAGAATGAGCTGTAAAGTATATGGGTAAGTGTGGAAAGCAGAATTAAGGCACAGAATAATGTGCATTTTAAGTTAATGTTGGTGTACATGTGGGAAGTGTGTGTGGGAGCCTGTGTAGTTATTGTTTCTAGAAAGTGTCGCAGCCTCTTGACAACAGTGATTGCCACTGGGAGGAGGAATGGAAATATTAGATTCAGAGAGCGAAAGAGTACTTATACTTCTGGCTTGTGAATTTCACATTATGTTTTTATCATCTACCAAAATAATTTAAATGATTCCTAAATGAAAGGGTAGTAAACACAAACATACAAAAAGAACACTTAGAGATTTTTTGGGAAGCATAGGTTCAACAATTGTTAACAAGTCTAACAAAATTACACCAGGAAAATGGTTCTTGAGGCTTCACAGTTCACAATAATCTGATTCCCAGAGCTCAGCACCATTCTTCTGTACCTTCACCCTCCCAGTCGTCAAGAGTCCCACATCGCCATGTAGTAGAAGCTTATACTATTTTTTTTTTCAGGGTGAAATTAGAAATGGAATTGTGCTTGTCAGTTATACAATGGTGAAGCTTCTAGAAACAGTTAATTGTGAACACCAAGAAAATCATGGGATGAGCCAGGTGTCCTGATGTCTATAAAATCCATTCCACCCCTTGTTGCTCTCCCCTGATTCCCATCGGTGTCTCTAGAAGGGAAGAATACATCATCTCCTTTACTCCAATGTGTGGAAGATTTGGATCAAATCAGTGTCTTGAAATGAATTTAGGACTAATAACTTCTCCAAATTGTTGTTTGTTTGTTTGTTTTGCTATGAGATTATGGCCTACAGCAGTCTGGCATTTGAAAATAAAGGAAGGGAAAGCTGAGATGGAGATGGGCTGGCTTGTGGGAGCAGAGGCAGTGCACAGGAAGAGCTGCTGTCATGTTAGGGAGTTCGCAGTCATCTCATTTGTTTCTCAACAACAACACTGAGTAAAGTGCATATTGTTACTACCCTCTCGTGCTTGAGGAAACTGAGGCTCTGAAAAGTGCTAAGCTGCTAAGAGAGAAATCAAGTTCTTAAGCCATCTCTCCTAGTTTGAGCTGCACTAGAGGTTCAGTCATAATCTGGTATTTTTGCTTAATATTTTTTCCACTTTCTTATTTCATATCTTGTAGAATGTCATTTTTGTTTGATGAAGTGACTTGCATCTATGGTGGGAAAAATTTCCATGCTAAGAACTTAGAAGTAGGACTGAGAATCAAATGCAGATGCTTTACCAAGAAAGAAAAAGGATGGTGGGTGAATCGCTGAAATGCCCACTCATCCATATTCTAGGAATTTACAGCTTCCTTGACTGTTCATTAAATAAAAAGCATCTGAAGTAATTTTATTGTCAAGTTGAGGTCGTTTCTCAGCAGAATGGCTGGTACTGGGGTGAATGCTCTCTATCTCTGCTTTTGCAAAGCTTCTAGAATTTTCTGAAGCAACATTCTTCAGACTGTCATGACCTCCAGAGACAGCTTTGAAATATGGTTTCTGGTTTGTCCCAAGCCCTTCTGGTCACTTCTGTACACACACAGAAGAGTATCAGGTCCAAATGGCAATTTCCTAGTACAGACATATGCTTTTGAACTAGCACTATCTTCAGTCCTACTTTAGTTTGTTCAAACTCACTCAGTTTGGTTTTGCTTTTAACGAGGAAAGGTGACTTCGTTAACTCTAAAGTCTTCCATTTAGAACCAAAGTTCCAAATGTCAACTGAATCTGGAAGTGATTACTCATAGGAATAAAACATGATGAGTATGTATTCAAATGCATGCTCACAGCTGTATTTTTTTATTAAAGAAATTCAGTGAGAAGAGTTTTAATACTGTACCGTAGATGAGAATCTTAATGTGTATAACACTGGCAATTCCAAATTAGAGCTCCCCTGGCAACTGTCACTCTGTGACATCACATTTTATCTAATGAGGCATAAAAATGTACACTTTGTGCACTCCACATCTCTTTCAATTGTATAGGGAAGGAGAGTTATGGGGAGAGTGGGAACCATCTCTTCAAAATCTTGGCTGTAATGTTTCATATATGCAGTTGTCTTATTTGCAGCTATATTTCCTGCAACTCTCATAGTCAGTATTTCTAAGGCATTGCACATGCTGTAACTGCTATAAAGACATCGGTCCATTCACTCTCTTATTCCACCTAGCCCGTTCCCACTAATTTCTTTTCTAATCCATAAGATCTTCTGAAGCTAGTAATAGGTTCTATGTTTACACTTGTTCAAATCTCACTCATTTTATGCGCTGCTGCTTTAAGGGCTACAAAATGTTTTACAGCATCTAGCGACAATCTCTGCCCAGTGGATCTGGTTTTGACTATTCACAGGAGCCCTGTCACTCTAATGAGGAAAAGTGTCTCATGGTTTTGGCTTCTCTCTTTCTGCAGCTGGGGGGCCAGTCACTCTTGAATAGAGATCCAAGTAGCTTCTAATCCAGATGGTAAGGGCAAGTATTACCTCTTTGTACAGATGGCACATAATTTCTTGCCTAATATTTAGTACAACCCCTACTGATCAAAGAAAAATTTGATGAGGAATGTGGCAGTCCTCACAATTTCTAACTCTGAGTTTTAGAGAGGAACTATGTGTTTGCAAATGGTCTTCCTTTCAAAATGTGAACCGAACAAACATCAGTTCCCCAATCCCTTCCCCCAGACAGAGCCACACACAGATGGGCTGATTAAAATCATAGGTCTGTGCTAAAGGAAAATTACTGCATTAGAGGAGACATTTGGGAGAAGTTGGCGATGGGTTGGGGGAAAAGTAACAGATAAAAGCAGATGGAATATCTTGCTTGGCAAGACATTATTCCATTATTCTTTCATTATCTATCTTCTGACATGGGAGGATATAGAAGAATAGTAAGCACAGATTTGTAAGTAATAAGACACCAGGTAAGACTCCTTTAGGGATCAGACAACTAATACACTATTGT